GGGGGGTTGGGGGGGGGGGAGAGGGGTGCAACAATGAATGAATGGAATTCCAAAATCTCTGTAGATGTTCATTGAAATGAAAAATAAAGAAATTTAAAAAAAAAGAGTCACTGCCAACTCAGAAAAAAAAAACACACAAAAAAAACCTCTCTTAATATCACTGAGCTGTGGTGCTGACAGAAAAGACACAATGACTACAACAGGGGATTAAAGCATGGTGGAAATGGTAGAAATGGCACCAGATATGCAAGGTTCAGCCTTTTGTCCAGAGGGTATTATGAGTCATATTTGACTCTAAGGCACCTAACAACAACAACAACAACTCATTCTATCCACTTCTGGGGAGTCAGTTTCAACTCACCTCAACTCTTTATATGGCTTTTGAGTCTCTAAATCTTTACAGCAAGGGAGTGCTCATTTTTATCCCATGGAACAGCTGGTGGGTTCAAACTGCTGACTTTTTGATTAGTAATACAATACATAGTGTGCTAGAGCACTATGGTTCTGCCATAAATATACATACATACATACATATGCACATATATGTATATATAGATACACAACATTATATATAGATACACAATATTTATTATATATAGATACACAATATTTATTATATATGCCTGCTCAATACCAATGCTTAGCATGGCAACCTATTTAAAAAAGTAAATGGTATATGACATCGGAACAGAAAACGCTTGTGTGTCAGGCATTTTAACATTTATATATTATTATATGTATTATATATCTATATATTTATATCTATCTCTGTCTCTGTCTCTATCTCTATCTATATAAATCTTATAGGGTCACTATGAGTCACCTACCACTAGACAGCACTTAACAACAACAACAAATATATATATTTAGTATGTTGTTGTTGTGCACCGTCAAGTTTGAACCAACCCATAGCTGACCCTCCATGGGTTCTTAGATGTAGTGAATTGCATGGGAAAAGATTGCCCATCTTTTTCCTGAAGAGCAACTGGTGGATTTGAATCGTGTACCTTTGTGTTGGCACCATAATTCCTTATCACTAAGCCACCAGGAGAACAAACATGTCAGTTGTGGAGAGGGTGAAACCAGGCTGCTCCATGGAGGCAAGGATTTTGAGACTTTGTCTTACATACTTGGGGCACATGGCCTGGAGGGATCAGTCATTGGAGAAGAACAGCATGCTTGGAAGGGTGGAGGGACAGTGCAGGAAAGAAAGACCCTGGATGAGATGGATTGGCTGAGTGACTGGAATAATGGGGGTAGGTGTGTCAGAGACAGTGAGATTGGTTCAGGATAGGGCAGAGATCAGAGCTAATGTACATAGGGTCGCTATGAGTCACAGGCAACTTGATAGCACTTAACAACAAGAAGCAACCATATATATCAAGAGATATAAAATCTTGTTTGTTTTGTTCTCCTTAGGCATTCCATGTGATATCAGATATGTATCTCCCAAGAAAATTGAATGCAACACAAGGTCTCCAGGAGAAGGTGCAACGCTCACTGCTCCTCAGGCAGGTAAGGAAGTCACAGCACTATTATTCCATGACTCTCTGAGGAACTGTCTTAGTTACATATTGTTACTATAATATGAATACCACAAATAGATGGCTTTGACAAACACATTTATTCTCTTACAGTTGAGGAGGCTGGCCGTCCAGGGTGCTTGTTCTAGACAAAGGCTTCTTTCTGTCTCCTGGTTCTAGGCATTTCCCAATGTAAGGACTTGGATCTGAAGGATTTTCTCTGCTCTACCTCTCTGTATTGGTGGTGCTAAACTTCCTCTTCTCTGTTTACTTTTTTCTCCTTTGGTCTCTTGTGAGATTAAAACATGATAGATCACATCCTAAGGATGGACCAGCTGCATGCTCTTTGCTGAAGAAAACAGCAACACTGTAGCTTACTTATAACAACAGACATTTAAACAAGGCAGAGAACAGGACATAACTGTACAATTAAATGTAAGATATTCCGTGGTCCAGGCAGTCATCTGCCACATTGAAAAGAACGTATTGTGATGTTCCACCAGCAAGTGTGTGAAGTGATTAGGAACTGAGAAGTGAAAGTGGCAGGTTTCACTTGTCCTGTGTTAAAAGCTCCAATGTCATGGATACAGATTAAAGAGTTATTTTACCATGAAGTCAGAACTAGAGACTCAAGTGTAGCTAGGAAACAAGGGCAGACCACAGGCTACTGAATGTTTTTCTTCCCTGCCTCACAAGAGGTGAACTGAATCCCTAAATAACAGCTCCAGAGACCTTGCACTTAAAAGTTTTCCCAGGAAGGGTGGATACCTTTCTTTAAAAAGGAGGTGACTCAGGTGTGGAAATGCATGCAAATTGTTGGCTGGAGAATTCTCCAGGTCGCACACCTGCAGTTTCCACTCAGGAAAAGCCCCATTGCAAGGAAGCAGAATGACTGAAACATGTGCTTGAGAGAATGTGTGTATCCTGTGTCAGGAAACAGAGGGTTGCCCCTTCTGAGCACTTTCTGCTTTAGCTCCGTGGGTAGTGGTAGGATAATTTCCTGAATGCAGCTGTTTTTGAGAGTTAGTTAATAATGTCCTTTATGAAATGCTTTTGAAGTTTCTTTATGGCAATTGATTGAGTAAAATGACTATGTTTAACGAAGTGGCTTGTTATTGGTGGTTTTTCGGTCCCTCGGGAGATATTTGGCCATTTTTGCTCACCACAACTTACATGTATCTATGTATGGTAGTGGTATTAGTGGCAGCTAGTGAGTAGGGGCTAGGAGTGCTTCCAAATTTTCCTCAATGCAGAGTACAAACCCACAACAGAGTTATCCAGTCTAAAATGTTGACAAGGTTCAGAAACCTTTATTCAAAGTAATATTTCTAACACTACTTAGTCTTCTGCTTATTCTCTGCTTATTTCCAAGTACTAAGAATTCATTATGGATGATACTAGTTGATGATGATGATGATGATAATAATAATAATAGTAATAATAATAAATAATAAATAATTCATGATCATGAAAAAAAGGACAATAGTTGTCTTTGAGGTGATTCCAACTCATAGTGACCGCATCTGTGTCAGAAGAAAATTATAATCTCTAGAAATTTCAGAGGCTGAAATTTCACTGAGTGTATTCTAAGATATTGTTAGGTTGATTTGAACCACTAACCTTTTGGTTAAGGTCCATTGTTGTTGTGTACCAGTGAGTCAGAACCAACCCACAGCTAATTTTCAGGTGGGTTTTCAGAGGCAGTTAATCGCACAGGATGAGATTGCTCACCCTTCTCCAGCAGAACAGTTAGTAGATTCGAACTGTGTACCTTTGAGATTGCAGCACAGCCTGCATGACCCAAAGGTCCCATTGCTACCTTTACTGAGCACTTAATCCATTTTAGGTTCTTTAGGACATATTTTTAGCTTCCCTTGGTACTCACTACACAATGTTTATTATTAATTAATCCATTTTGATGGAAGAAAAAGAAGATTTAAAGGACGTTAGGCAGTTGTTGCAAACCTCCTATACAGCAAGTAGCTCACCTGAAACTACCAGCTGCCTGATTCTAGAGCATTTACTCTGATCCCTAGTTCAACTCAACTCAAAATGGAAACTATTCATAGCTGATCCTCTAGTGAGTTTTTTTCTCTTTATATAATCTTTCTTTTTATATTACTCTGATTTATTTACAAAGTTTAAATACACTATTTTTCACAAAAGATCCTTCCATTTCCTTCACCCCACCCACCCATCGGATTGTGCAACCCTATGGTTAACACTCTACCCCTCCACCCATCCTCACCCCTCTATTTCCACCCTCTCCCCTCCCTTAGATCCTCATATTCATTCTACCATAATGGTTTTATACAGTATTTGTCCTTGTGGGACTGAGTTAGTTCACTCAGCATAATGCTCACCAGTCCCTCCCAAGTTAGGTAGTAATTTACAAAATCACTGCTCCTGCGTGCTGTGTAGTATTCCATCGTATGAATGCACCACAACTTCTCAGTCCATTTGTGTGTGGTTGAACATCTAGGCTGTTGCCATATTCAAGTTTCTGAGAGGCTGTAAATTACACAGGAGGAGATTACTCATCTGTCTTCCACATAGTCATTGGTAGATTTGAATTGCTAAACAGGGGCCAATTTTGAGGTAACAGCTCAACTCCCTATGGAATACGCTACCAGATTGCATCTGCATCTCTGCCTTCAGAAGCCCAAATTAATATGTACAACTTCACGTAGGATGTCATGCATCAGTGAGTGATGTGCTACATTATGGCACTTTGCACAAGCCCACAAATTATGTCATGACATTCGTATAATTTAAAAACATTACTAAGATTACTTTTTTTAAAAAAAAGAACCCTTAAGGGATGAAATTGTCAAGTAGGGTCCACTCCCAGTTTTAAGAAGCACAGTGTCTAGTCAAGTCACAAGCACTTAATTGCTTTATCTGCCTTTCAATCAACCACAGCATTTGTGTCTGCTTTCACATTTTTTCTCCAAAACGTGGCTGATTTCCGTAAAAAAGGACTTCCTCTTCTTCTCTGGTCCTCTGAGAATATCTCTTATCTTACTATATATGTAGATTCTCTCTTTGTGAATGGTAAAATCCTATAACAGGGAGTATTTCTGCTCTCTAGAACCTTTTTATTACCTAAAACCCAACTGCTAGGGAAAAAGATCACTATATTTGGTACAGAGTGAGCTAAAATGAGGGAAATCTTCAGTGAAATGGATTAATACAGTAAGTTAGCACAGAACTTGGAACATTTTTTGTTGTTATATATAAAGACACCACTAGTGAGCACCAACTTGACATTAACTAAGAACACAAGACCCTCTTATCTACTTGAAGTTCAGTTGATTCACCTTTTTTGACAATGCTTTAATCATCCTCTCCTCTAAAAGGTTAAGTGAAGAAATGCTCCAATTGGAGGAGGAGTACCCTTTGATGTTTATGAGTTGGACATGTCTTACAGGCAACCGTGGTCTCCTTTTTGAAGTTGGAGATGCAACTGAGGGGCTGGACTTGAATGAAGCCACTCCAGGGTATAGATGGCAGATTGTTCCTAATGCTAGTTCTCCATCTGGATTTTGGTCAAAGGAAGGGCAACCTTTCAGGTATGTAGATCTCAGGACAAGTGGGGAACCTGTATACAAAAATATCTTTATGAGCTAGAGAGGACATGGATAAGAAAACTCACTCAAAACTCACTGCTGGCCAGTAGGCTGTGACTCACAGTGACCTTCTACCAGGTTTCCGAGGCTATAAATTATACAGGAAAAGACTTTCCATCTCTTCTCCCCCCTCGAAGAGCTGCTGGTGGATTCAACCCTTAGCTACTCAGCTTTTGGGATAACAGAACAACTTGCTACCAATCACACTGTTGGGACTCCATATGCATAAACAGAGTAAAGGTATTTCAGGGGAGAATTTATAACACTAGTCAATTCAACAACACAGATAATTAAGAGTTTGCCTGGTAATGAAAGGTGGGTGTTTCCCAGCCTCTCTTCTAGATACTATATGTGAAAGTATTTATTTCATTCTCAAGACAGACTTATAATTTTGGGGCTATTACTACTTCTATTTTACAAATGAGGTTGTAAAACTTAAGAGATTTTCCCAAAAAAGGAATTTGGGACAACTGAGAATTTAGAGTGGCTATGTATGTAGGAAACTAGTTAAGTTCTCATCTGGAGCTGGTAGTTAGCAGTTACAACCCATCTACTGGCTCTGTAGGAGAAATCGATGACCTGCTCCATAAAGGTGGTTGTTGTTAGGTGCTGTCGAGTATGACACATAGTGACCCTATCAAAAAAAGATCTGAACCCTGTTCTGTCCTGTGCCATCCTCACACTTCCTGACACACAAGAGCCCATTACAGCAGTCACCATGTCAGTCCACCTTGTTGAGGATCTTCCTCTCCTCCTCCGACCCTCCACCCTTCCCAGCATCATGTCCTTCTCCTAGCAACATGCCCAAAGTATGTGAGGTGAAGCCTCATTATTCTTGCCTTCAAAGAGCACTTTGGCTGCACCCTCTCCAAGACATATCTGTTCATTTACTTGGTCGTCCATGGGATGTTCAATGCTCTTCTCCAACACCACAGCTCAACGGCATCAATTCTTTTCCTGTCAGCCCTATTTATTGCCCAGCTCTCAGATGCATAGCAAATGCTCAGAAAGGCCATAAAGACTAGAGTAAAAAAAAAATCCACATGTGGCTGTTCCACTCTATTGCATGGGGTCGCTGTGAGCTTAAATAAACTCAACACACTTATCTACAATATCATCCTTCTTTGTGATGCTCATATAGAAATGATGTTCATATAGAAAGCTTTCAGTTATATGTAGTGTGTATAAGGTTTTGATGAGGAGAAAGTGGTATTACCTTCATATAAAAACAAACACACAAAAATACAAAAATACTTTCTCTGTGGGGTAGTTGTTGTTATGTGATATAGAATTAGAATGTACTCTTTTTTTTTATTTTACTATTGTTTTGTGTGTACCGTCAAATCAGATCTGACTGGTACAGGAGGAGATTATTCCTCCTTCTCCAGCAGAACATCTGGTGGATTTGAACCATGCACCTCTTGGATTGCAGTGCAGCTTCTTGCAACTAGGCCACCAAAACTCGCCTAGAATGCACTCTTAGCTGACCCTCCAGCAAGTTTTCAGAGGCAGTAAGTCACACAGGAGGACATTGCCCATCTTTCTCCTGCAGAGCAACTGGTGGATTCGAACTCTGTGCCTTTGGGTTGGTAACTCAGTTCTTTACCACTAGACCACCAGAGCTCTTTGTAGGTTATATTCCTTTGTCATTTTGATCATCTAGAAACTAGATATCAGCTTTCTTCCCATTTCCTCTCTCATCCACTTGCTTAAAATTTAAAAAATTTAAACTTAAAAAAATAAACTGTGTATTTTTGGTTCATATATCCAGTTTATTGTAGTGATCATCTTCTCAAATTATTTTCAAAAACTTTCAAAAAGAAAATTATTTTCAAAGATACAAAGAATTTATTCACATGAAAGCAGAAGAAAAAACCTTCCTCTATATTGATCATTCAAATATTTAAAAAATAACATTAGCAGAAATTATTTTTTGTTCTTTGTTGAACACTTTAATCATGGAAGAGATTTTAGTGCTGTCCATAATATTATGTTACTAGTATTTACTTTAATGTAAATATTATGATTTTATTTTAAAAATGTTTCCTAAATCACTTGACATCTTCCTCAAACCTGCATTTTATAGCTTTAAATTTTGGAATTGTTGACAGGTTCAATTGGCTATTCTCTATGGTCCATACAGTTTGGTGGGTGGAGGGAGAAAGGGGAGGATCTGTGTGAAAAGAGAGGGTAATGGTGGACGAGGTTCAATAGTGACTAATTCTATAAAATATAATGCACGAGAATGATTGCATGAAACACAATGTGAATGAGCGGTAGAGTGAAACACAATGTATATAAACTTTGTAAGCAAACTAATTAAAAAAAGAAAAGCAGAGAGAAAATTTTAAGTCATGGCCTCTCTTCATTTCCAAAAATAACAATACAATTTACCACTGATGATATTCCCACCATGGGGCAGGGCCTCTGCGGGCTGTGCATGGTATGTTTTCTCCGCTCAGTCCCTCTCCATCCAACCCTATGTCACAGCTACAATGAAGTTTCAGTGTGTGACTAGTAGAACAAAATTAACTGGGATTTGGAGACCCTATAGGGGCTACAGGAATTTCTGTTTTGCTTTGGCTGATCAGGTGGTACAGGGATCAAGTGTTTCTTCATTATAATATTGACAAAAGACAACAGCAACCAGTTGTGAGTTCTATGGTTTAAGCTTCTCTGCTCTCCTATGACTGTGTTCCTCTGCTTCACAGAGCACGGCTCAGAGGGTTCTTTGTGGCTCCAGAGACCAATAATTACACTTTCTGGATCCAGGCAGACAGTCAAGCTGTCCTGCATTTCAGCTGGTCAGATGACCCAAAGACCAAGGTACTAATTTTTCTGCTTTCCATTCCCAAGCACAGACAATATGTGTATTAAAAAGTAATGGTATGAAACAGAAAATGCATAACTGATCAAATAAGGAGGGAGTAGGCGAGAAGGAGAGAATGGATGTGGAGTGATGTTATACAACAAAATCTGTATGATTGAGAGGGAAAAAAATAACTGAAAGCTAAATGTGCTAGAAGTGGTTGTACCATATTTCAACCAACAGATGAAGCCCTAGACTCATTCACCAGTCTATGCTAGGAAATTTGGAGAATAGCTCCCTGTCCAATTGATTGGAGGAGATTCTGTATTTATTCCCATTCCTAAGAAAGGTGATCCAACAGAATGTGGAAATTATAGAACAATATCATTAATATCACATGCCAGTAAAATATTGCTGATGATTTAAAAAAAATGGCTAGAGTAGTACATTGAAAGGGAACTGCCAGAAGTCTAAGCTGGGTTTAGAAGAAGCTATAGCACCAGGAATATCATTGCTGATGTCAGATGGACACATGCTGAAAGCAGAGAATACCAAAAGAACATCTGTTTGTATTTTATTGACTATGAAAAGCATTTGATTGTGTGGATCATAACAAACTGTGGCTAACATTGAGAAGAATGTCCCAGGACACTTAAATGCTCATGAGTAACCTCTACTTAGACCAAGAAGCTGTTGCCTGATCAGAGCCAGGGAACACTGCATGATTTAAAACCAGGAATGATATACATCAGGAATGTATCCTTTCTCTATATCTAGTCAGTTTTTACATTGAGAAAAATTAATTTTAGAAGTTAAACTGTATGAAGAAGAATGTGGCATCAGGATCAGAGAGACTCACCAAAACATTGTGCTATGATGACATAACCTTGCTGGAAGTGAAGATGATTTGAAACAGTGGTCAAAGACTGCAGCTTTCAATATGGATCACATCTCAACATCAAGAAGACAAAAATCTTTATCACTGGACCAATAGCTTATATCATAATAGATGGAGAAAATATTACCAAAAAATACCTCCCAAATAGGTGTGTCTTGGAGAAAGTGTAGCCAGAGTGCTCTTTGAAGGTAAGAATGGTGAAACTTCATCTCACATCTCTTAGGCAAGTTCCTAGGAGAGGCTTTTCCTCAGAAAAGGATATCATTCTTGGAAAGAAGGAGGTCAGTGAAAGAAAGGAAGGTCCTTAACAGGATGGATTGATACAGTGATTGCAGCAATGGGCTTAAGTGTGTCAGAGTTAATGAGGATTACACAGAATGGGACATGGTTCAGATCTTTTGTTCATAAGATCACTATAAATTGTACTTGACTGGATGGCACCTAACAAGAACAGCAATGTTTGAATATCCTACAAGTAGTTCCAACATGCCATTAGTGATCAGGAATTTTAATTGGTGAAAAGACATTTGGCTGAATGCAATGGTTCCTTCTATTTATTGAGCATTTACTTAAAGTCTGGCATGTACTAGATCTTTTTTTGTTTGTTTGTTTCCCCTGTTGTGTACCATCGAATCAGATCCGACAGGCACAGGAGGAGATTTCCCCTCCTTCTCCAGCGGAGCAACTGGTGGATTCGAACCGTGTGCCTTCACGATTGCAGCACAGCTTTTTGCCACTAGGCCAGCAGAGCTCCGTACTGGATCTTTTACATGCCTTAGCTCTGCTCTTTACAGCATCTTTGCCAGGCATGCATATTTAGCTACATTTTCCAGGTGAGAGAATAGAGGCTTGGAGAGATTATATTACCAGTCAAGGCTCCTTACATAGTGCTGTTCCTTCTTTGTTTACCTGTACATAGGTGGAAGAAGCTTCCATCAGGGTTGGCACTGCTGATTGGTTTGACTCCTGGGAGCAAAATGAGAATGAAGACACCTGGCACCGGAAGACCCCCAAGTTGGAGCTATTAGGTGGAGTCAAATACTACTTGGAAGCAGAGCATCATGGGATAGCCCCTAGCAAGGGGATGAGGATCGGTGTTCAGATCCATAACACCTGGCTGAATCCTGATGTAGTCAGCACTTACCTCCGGGAGAAGCACCAGATCCGAGTCCATGCCCAGAGGCTACCGGAAATACAGGTCTCCCTCTCTTTCTCATCTGGTGGGTCTAGGTACCAGGCCTGACCTCTGGAAGGGAAGAAGTCTTCACACAGTAGAAAAATCACTGTCTAGGAACAAGAAGACCTGAGTAATTAAAGATCTGCCATCTAAGGCAGATATTAATATCTTATCGATTTGAGCTGCAGTGGAATGAGAAAAAAATGCAAAGTCTTGTTATTGAGAGTACCTTATTTATTAAATTAAATTAAAGATTCAACTGTCACGTCTTTTTAGAAACTTCCGAACACATGAACATACAAATATGTACACACAGAAACACACATACTTGCAAACACAAACATGTTCAGATACACACATGCATGCAAACATTCTCATGTGAACACACACCATGACTCCACAGATGTTTAAACTAACTCAGGTTTTTACCATATATTGTCTTTTCTAAGCCTACTGTATGAAAATCAAGAGCTTCATTTTACACTCTCACCAACAGTGAATAAGGGTTCCAGTTTCTCTACAATCTAGCCAATATTTGTTGTTTGCTGCTTCGTTAAGTTTTGCTATTCTTACTGGGGTGAGATGATATCTCATAGTTGTTTTGATTTTCATCACTCTTAGAGGTAGGGATTATGAACATTTTTTCATGTGTTTTTTACCATCTGAATGTTTTCTTTGGTGAAGTTATTAATATCCTGTGCACATTTTGCAATAGGGTTGTTTACCATTTTCTTGTTGTGGTACTTGAGTATTCTATAAATTCTAGCTAAAGTCCCTTATCAGACATGTCACTACCAAATATTTTTTTCCCAGTCTGTGGCTTCTCTGTTTACCCTCTTGGAGAAGTTTTTGGATATGCATAGGGATTTGACTCTTAGAAGGTCCCATTGGTCTATTTTATCCTCTCCTGGTTGTAGGTTTTTCAGGATGCTTGGAAGACTTCATGTTGTGGATCAGGGCTTCTAGAATTCTTCCAAGCTTTTCTCTAATGACATTTACAGTCCTTGGTTTTAGTCCTAGGTCCTTGATCCACTTTGAGTTGGTTTTATTGTATGGAGTGAAGTGTGGGTCTTGCTTGAGTTTTTTGCAGATGGTTCCCCAATTTTGTCAACACCATTTGTTAAAAAGACTGTTGTTTCCCCACTTAACTGATTTCATTTCCTTGTCAAAAATCAGTTGACTATAGGTAGATGGACTGATTTCTGGGTTTTCAATTCTATTCCATTGATCTATGTGTCTGTCATTGTACCAGTACCACAATTTCTCAACTACCATGGCAGTGTAGTAGGATTTGAAATCAGGGAATGAGATACCTCCTATCTTGTTTCTTTTTTTAAGGAGTGCTTTGCTTATTTGGGATCGCTTTCCATTCCAAATGAAATTGAAATGCAGTATGTAGTTTTCTCAAAAAGCTGGAAATAGAAATATCATGTGACCCAGCAATTCCACAACTGGGAATATACCCTAAAGAAACCAGAACTGCATCCAAGCAGATATATGCACACCCATGTTTATTGCTGCTTTGTTCACAATAGCAAAGAGTTGGAGACAACCCAAGTGTCCATCAACAAATGAATGGGTAGAGAAACTGTAGTATATTCACAAAATGGAATATTATGCAGCACTGAAAAACAAAGAACTCATGAAATAATTATACAAAATGGGTGACCCTGGAGAACATTATGCTGAATGAAATATCTCAGTCACAAATGGACAAATACTGCATAGTAACACTGTTATAAAACAGGACTGACATTAGGGTTGGCAGAAAACTAAGAAAAAAGGGGTAAATAATGTACACAGCATTAAAACCGATAAGAGAGAGAACTATATAAAAGAAATATATGATTAGGTATTATTGGCACGACTTAAGTCCAAAAGCAAACTGGAGAGGGGGGCAGGAAGGAAAATGTGCAACAATTAATGAATGGAAATCCAAGTTCTCTATAAACTTTCATTGAAATCTCAATTAAAAATATCAAGAGCTCTGGTTCTTTCAGTTTGTATTTATACATTTTTATGCTTTTTGAGTGAAAAAAATTACACTGGTTTTTCATTCAATCATTAATACACATTTTATTTTATAACATTGATTATAATTGATTAATAAAATTAATTAATTATAATGTCTATTCAATCCCTAGGGCACTCTGGTGGCCTGGTGGATAAAGAGTTGCTTTTCCAACCCAAAGACCAGCAGTTCAAACTCACCAGCTGCTCTGTTCTGTAGAAAGAAGAGCAATCTCCTCCTGTGCAATTTAAAGCCCCTGAAAATCATTAGAGTGTCAGTTATGAGTAGATTCCAAATTGAAGGCAATGAGTTTTGACCTTAATTAGTTCCTTATTTTGTATTGCCTTTACCTTCCCTCAGTTTATCCATTTATTAACTTTTACATTCCTCCCTCCCCCACATTTTTGCTGAACCACTTTAGTATTCTTTTTGTGTGTATTCTTCAGTTTACAAGGATTAATCAGCATACACCTTATCACTGTCCTCTGTAGCTTACAAGGTAAAAGTGAGATTGTAGGGGAGCTCTGGTGGCCTAGTGGCAAGGAGCTGCAACTACAATCCCAGAGGCGAACGGTTCAAATCCACCAGATGCTCTGCCAGGGAAGGAGGGACAATTTCCTTCTGTACCAGTCAGATCTGATTTGACGGTACACGCACACAAAAAATAATAAAATAAAATAAAAAAATTTAAAAAAGTGAGATTGTATACAGACAACCATAGAAGTAGAAGATAATAAATGATATGCAAAATTAAAAGTTATACAGGAATCAAAGCAAAGTGCAATGTGCCCAACAGGTAATGTATTAGAAGCAAAACTCAAAGCCTAGTATTCAAGGGCAGCATTTAGGACATGGAGACAGACACATGGAGTATTTCAAGAAAAGTCCTTATTGTAGCTTATGTTCTCCAGAAATGTCTAGATGACATTGAGTTTAGAAAATTGCAATTGTAATAAAAAGGAAATATAAGGCAAGAAAGTATATCTCATGTTCTTAAATTGCTTCTTCCGTAGACTTAATGCATGTGCCTTCATCCTGTTCCTGTTGAATTTGTAGATGCTGAATGTGTCTGGCAGAGGGAACTTTTTCCTTACCTGGCATAACATCTCTAGCCAGCCAATACCTGCAAATGCCACAGCCCATCAGGTAGGGACCTTCTTCCGCTGATGGAGAAGGTAGGAGATCTACAGTCATTTTTAGACCAGAGAATGAACTTTGGATATGTTTTCTTCTTTTGAATAGATTCAAACCGCCATTGAGGATTTACTTGCAGTAAAATGCAAACAGGAGCCACGCTCAGCTAACATCCTTCTCCGGCTTGGGTTTGAACAAGGTCCTGCCTATCCTTAGTTTAATGTATCTGACCCTCTTTCCCACCATTGTCTTCTTTCTTCTTCTAGAAAATGAGAACAATACTCATTTCCTGTCCAGGGTGCCATCAGTGTTAAAGTTAACTATGGGAACTGATTTTGAATACTGATCTTCTAATGGAGTAGCTAGGGGTGTGGGAGTGAGATGCTGGGTGTGGACATCAATCAGAAAACATTCCTCCTGAGCTCTTAGGTGGAGCACCCAGTTCAGCTTCTGTGTTGATTTCCATCCATGATGGTCCCATGAGAGTGAAATTAGAACTATGTTCTATAGTGCTTTCAAGGGCTAATTTTTCAGAAGTCCATCACTAGACTGTTGTTCTGACATGCCTGTGAATGAACTTGAACCTCTGACCTTTCAGTTATAGCTGAGTAAACATTTGCACAACCCTGGAATTTCTAAATGGAGCAAAGTGCTATACCTCCCATTTAGACACTTAAAGAAGAACAATAGATATAGGTGGCAAACAGTTGAACTGTACAAATCTTATTCAATTTACTTTTCATCTAAAGGGATTATTACAAAGCAGAGCAAGCTTAAATATAACAGTAGCCTTAAATTATGTGATTTTTTAAAAATACTATCAAGATTAACTGGTAGCACTGGTGGCCTAGTGATAAGAAGCTGTGCTGCTATCTCAAAGGCACTAGTTTGAATCCCCAGATGCTCCACAGGATAAGGCTGGGCTATCTCCTCCTGTGTGATTAATTGTCTCTGAAAACCCTTCTGAAAGATCAGCTATGGGTTGGTTCCCATTCTATGGTACACAAGAACTTTTAGTTAATCAGGATTAAATTTCAATCATTGTCCCCTCTTTGTTTCTGAATAGTTTTCATGTTGTGGTACATAAACACATTAAAATAAATTCTCAGTGCTCTGAGGAAGACAATGAGTTTCTCCTGGCTGTGTCTTTCTGCCTGGGATGCTGGTCACCCTAAGCCCTGCTCTCCTCCCACTATGGCTGAAGGCCCCGGAAAAGCTCTGTCTTGTTTTACACTAATGCCTTGTCTTCTCTGGAACTTTGCTTTTAAGCCACACCCTGTTTTGTGCAAATTACATCAGGTCCACAAGGTTCCAGCTCAGATGGAGACCTCACCAGTGCGACAGAGCCCTTCTGTGGCAGGTTCAGCCTCCATCAGCCTCGACACCTTGTCCTGACATCCCAGGCTGGGCAAAAGGGCTATAGGCTGGGCCAGGACACACATGTAAGTAGCAGTCCTCATATTCCTGGGTAAGGTGGACAGGGAAGGATGGGTACAAAGACACTTCTTTTGAGAATGAAAACAAACAAACAAACTAACAACCCAAACAACCAGAAGGACAAAGAAGGAATTGCTGTCATTTGTCCAGGAGGTTTCAGGCTGAGGTTTTGGACTTCTTCTCTTTGAGGTGTGTACCTAACCCCACTAGTGCCCTGTTAGATGGCAACTATTAGTCATCTGTATTATCTGTACGGTAGTGTATTAGCTTTAGTACCTACAGCAGTCAGTATATGTTTCAGTATTTGCTCTCCTGGGATTAAAGTTCAGATTCTGTAGCCAATCTGGGTTTGAATCCCAGCTTGCCACCATGTGCTCTTTGAGTGTCTTCTTTAAGTGCACTCTGTCTCAGTTCACCTGTCCGTAAAATGGATAATGATGTGCTGTTCCTTTCAGCAGTGTGGTAGAGATCAAATGAAATAATTTGATAGAGTTTTTGCATGATGAGTAAGCCTAGTTATCATTATATCTTCCTTAGGAGGAGAGATAGTCTCTCTTTGCCTAGTAAAGTTTGCAGCCTCAGATGTGACT